AGTGAAATAAGCCAGTCAGAGAAAGATAAATATCACATGATCTCACTCATTTATGGAATCTCTCTCTATATATAGTGGTAATATGCAAATTGTCTGTTACAGTGTCACAGTAATGACTATTCAACAGGCTGCGCGCAGTGAGGGGCAGGTTTGTGTGCACAACCTGTCACCAGGAGATGCATGGAGCACCTCTAGGTTCTCTCCCCCACCCCCCACCCCCCGCTCCCGTGGGTGGTGGCGGCGGCTCGTTCCCACCTCCCGCAGAAGCGTCGCAGCTCGCTCCTGCCTCCCGTGGAAGCAGCTCGAGACCCTCCCGGCTCGCACAGAAGCAGTGTGGCTCCTACAGGTGCACTGTGGCTCCCGCCGGCTACTGCGGAAGTGGTGGGTGGCCTACTGCGTGTGATATCACGCGCTGGTCCACTAGTAATAGTATAATGAACAACATAAACTGATGAACAAAAACAGATCAAGAAACAGAGAAGCATCGATCAGACCGTCAAACCTCAGAGGGAAGGTAGGGAAGGATTGGGGTAAGGGGGAAAGATCAACCAAAGGACTTGTATGCATGCATATAAGCCCAACCAATGGACACAGACAACGGGGGTGAGGGCATAAGTGGGGGTCTGAGGGGTGGGTGGGCAATGGGGCAGTAAGGACACATATGTAATACCTTAATAAAGAAAAAAAAATTTTTTTTAAATGTCATTTTCTCATTCAACTCCAAGTCCTTTTCCTACTTAATTTTTGTTTTGGTAAAACATGCATACATACAATTGACTATTTTAACCATTTTTTAAAATATATATTTCAGTGGTAGTACATTTACAGTGTACACTGTTCAACCATCACCACCATCTATCTGTAGAACTTTTTCATCATCCCAAACATAAACTCTGTACCCATTAAAAAATAATTCCCAGTTCCCCTTCCTCCTGTTTCAGTAACCATCATTCTACTTTCTTTTTTTAAAATTGATTTCAGAGAGGAATGGAGAGTGATAAAGATAAAAACATCAATGATGAGCTGAGAATCATTGATCAACTGCCTCCTGCACACCCCCTACTTGGGATCGAGCCTGTCAACGGGCATGTGCCCTTGACTGGAATCGAACCTGGGACCCTTAAGTCCACAGGCTGACACTATCCACTGAGCCAAACCAGCTAGGGCAGCCGTGGGCAAACTACGGCCCACGGGCCGGATCCGGCCCGTTTTAAATGAATAAAACTAAAAAAAAAAAAAGACTGTACCCTTTTATGTAATGATGTTTACTTTGAATTTATATTAGTTCACGCAAACACTCCATCCATGCTTTTGTTCCGGCCCTCCGGTCCAGTTTAAGAACCCATTGTGGCCCTCGAGTCAAAAAGTTTGCCCACCCCTGAGCTAGGGCCATCATTCTACTTTCTGGTTCTATGAAACTTGACTATTCTAGGAATATGATTATTCATAGTAGAATTATACAGAACTTGTGCTTTTGTATGGGGGCATACTTAGCCTATTTTCAAGATTCATCCAATTTTGTATCCTGAGTCAAAATTTCCTTTTTTTGAAAAATATTCCATTGTATGTATATGCTATTTTGTTTTTTCATTCATCTCTTGATGGACTTTTGGGTTGTTTCACAAAGGTGTACAAGTATCTGTTTGAATTCTTGCTTTCAGTTCTTTTTCAGTGTATACCTAGGAGTGAAACTGCTGGGTCATATGTTAATCCTGTTTAACTTTTGGAGGAGCTTTACCTAGACTTCTAAAAAAATACTTTTTCATACCACTTTTGTTTAATTTTACCCAGGAGTTTACAATGTCCCTTGTATACCATTTTTTCCCCTTGCATTATGTGGCTTAATTTTCTTCCCTAAGTATATTGTTTTTTAAAAAAATGTTTTTATTGATTTCAGGGAGAGGGAGAGAGGAACATCAATGAGAAGAGAGAATCACCGATCAGCTGTCTCCTGCATGCCCCCTACTGGGGATCGAACCCAGCAACCCACACATGTGCCCCGATTGGGAATCGAACCATAACCTCCCGATTCATGGGTCAACACTGGCTGGGCCCTAAGAATATCTTTAAAAGTTTCTTCAGCAAGAGCCTGAAAATAAACTTGTGCTTTTTTTGTTGTTGTTTAAAGATGTCTGTAAAAAACAGGGAAGAGAATTTTGCTGTGTCCAGACTTTTGTTTTCAGATATGTTCTCAACATATCTGAAAAGTAAGAATGGCATCTACTTTCTTCTGGTTCCCACTGTTGCTGTTGAAAGGCAAGTGTTAAGCTGTCACTTTTTTGAAGATGATGTTTTTCTCCCCTGGCTGCTTTTAAGAACCTGTTTCGTGAGGTATTTTTTTATTACCATACATCACATAGGTGTGTTTTTTATTTATCTTGCTTTATTTAGTCATTCATTAATCCACCCATCCATCTTGCTTGGGCTTCTTCAGTCCGATGAGGTGTCTGTCATCAATACTGTAAAAGGTTCAGTCTCTGAACATCACCGCACCATTGTCTTGGTTCTTTGTTACCAAACCTATATTTTTCTGTCTTGCTTATAAGTTAACATCTCTGTTTTTCAGTGATGTATTGTGTATTTTTACCACTCTTCCAGTTTGTAAAAGAACATTTTTCTGTTAATTCATCTGCTAAATTTCCAATTTTAACCACGCCAGCATTTACATGAACAGAATTCACTCTGTAAATTCTACTTACTGACTTTCCAACTCTGATCATTTCAGGCAATTTCATTCTTTTATCAGATTTCCTATACTCTCATTTCTTTAAACTTAACATTTCATAATATAAAATAAATATTGGATCATTCCAGAATCTGCAAACTTCGCAAATTTAATGATACATATGAAGATTCTTTTGATTCTTGCTCCTGGTGGCTTTCTGTTTTTATATTTGTTATTACAAAGTATTTGATTATATGAATAACAGTCCTTGGACTTCTGACTCTTTTGAGATCTGACTTGAAGGGGGTTTACTCTAAAGAAGATACAAGCTTTCTTTGACTTAGGAGATTTCTAAGCAATGTGCCAATTCTAGATGAAACGCTATATAGAAGAGCTTCGTACTACCTCTAAATTGTATACCTAAAAGGGGAATACTTTTTCTACTGAATTAGGCAGATATATCTACTTATTTTCAGGGAATTTGTTTATATTTGACTTCCCAAAAGGTAAAATCCAGGCGCTCAGCCTTGTCTATACTATTTGATTTCAATGTAATTTTAGTGTAGACAGAGAAACTATGAGAACCTGTGAGCTATAAAAAGGTGGCTTCCTGAATTCTGTCCCTTCAGAGATAAATATTTTAGGTACTAGAAGCTCGGTGCACGAATTCATGCACTAATGGGGTCCCTTGGCCTGGCCTGCGGGATTGGGCCGAAACCAGCTCTCTGACATCTCCCAAGGGGTCCTGGATTGTGAGAAGGCACAGACCAGGCCGAAGGACCCCACTGGTGCATGATTGGGGCCAGGGAGGGATGCCGGAGGTTGGCCAGCTGGGGAGGGACCCCGGAAGGGCTCCAGGGCGTGTCTGGCCCATCTCGCTCAGTTCCAATCAGCCAGACCCCAGCAGCAAGCTATCGTACCTGTCAGAGCATTTGCCCCCTGATGGTCAGTGCCCGTCATAGCGAGCAGTTGAGCAGCCTTAGCATATCATTAGCATATTATGCTTTGATTGGTTGGACACTTAGCATATTAGGCTTTTATTATATAGGACTAGAGGCCCGGTGCACAAAAATTTGTGCACTTGGTGGGGGGTGTCCCTCAGCCCGGCCTGTGCCCTTTCACAGTCTGGGACCCCTTGGGGGATGTCCACCTGCTGGCTTAGGCCCGCTCCCCAGGGGAACAGGCCTAAGCTGCAGTCAGACATCCTTAGCGCTGCTGAGGCGGCGGGAGAGGCTCCCGCCACTACCGCTGTGCTGGCAGCCATCAGCCTGGCTTGTGGCTGAACAGAGCTCCCCCTGTGGGAGCGCAATGACCACCAGGGGGCAGCTCCTGCATTGAGCATCTGCCCTCCAGATGGTCAGTGTGTGTCAGAGTGACCAGTCATTCCCAGTTGTTCTGCTGTTGGGGTCAATTTGCATATTACCCTTTTGTTATATAGGATAGAGGCCTGGTGCACGGGTGGGGGCCGACTGGTTTGCCCTGAAGGGTGCCCCGGATCAGGGTGGGGTCTCCCACTGGGGTGCCTGGCCAGCCTGGGTGAGGGGCTGATGGCTGTTTGCAGGCTGGTCAAGCCCCCCAGTGGGGCCCTCACCCCATGGGGGTGTGGCCAGCCTGGGTGAGGGGCTGAGGGCCGTTTTCAGGCTGTCCACATCCCCCAGCGACCCAAGCTCCCAGCCTCTCCTTTTTTTTTTCAGCACCTCCTTGAGCAGAGGCCAGGGCGGGCTGGAAGCAGGTATCTGGGATTTATCTTCTATAATTGAAACTTTGTAGCCTTGAGCGGAGCCCAGGGCTGGCCAGGGCAGGCAGGAAGCTTGGCTTCCTGCATCGCCTGGGGCAACCCAAGCCTCCTCCTTGCTCCAGCTCTGTGGCTGCCGTCATCTTAGTTGGGTTAATTTGCATACTCGCTCCTGATTGGCTGGTGGGTGTAGCGGAGTGGCAGAGTGATGGTTAGTTTGCATCTTTCTCTTTTATTAGTGTAGATTACTGTTCTAAAACTATCCTAATAATTTCATTTTTATTTTTAAACTCTTGCATCATGAAGGGCCAAAAGAGACAAAGTATTTTGATAATCTTTACAGAATCATTTAACCAGTCACGATTTGTTTTGTTGTTAATTCCCACTTCTAAATTTAGTTTGTTGGTGGTGTTTCTTTGCAAAATTGTGACAGGGTTTCCATCTAGCTGGGAGAAACTTATTTCCATGTTAGCATTGTAATAATCATGGGAAACCATTACAGCATCTCATTTCTTTGCTTTTAGTATGAATTCCCAGAGCAATTTTTTACATGTATAACATTTGATGAAAGGTATGTAGAATGCCAATAAACAGTCAAAATATTATATGAATACTTTAATGCAAAATGCTCAACACTTAATATTAGCAAAGCTCCATTTAAATTAAAATTCCATTGAACTAAAGATGGTTAACCCCAAGAATTGTACAGTAGTTGGTTTGTTATATAATGCCAGTCCTGATTCAAAAGAGCAAGAATCGCATTGTTAGCTGTCATTTCCTCCGTTGCTTTTCTAAACCCTAAGGGTTAGGGGAGGGGATACTCAGACAGACACAGAACAAAATACAACCCAAATAAACTGCACAGTTGTTCCTAATAGTTTTAACCCATTTTGACTAAGCTGTCCAAGCAAACAGCTAGAGTCATAACTGGAGTATTGTTCCAGAGCTGAGAAGAGGTTTTTATTTTTACAGCTTGGTAGTTCTGCACTAGGTGAGAAGTCACAGTTGAAGGATGCATGTTCTGTAAATAGTAACTACATATACACATTTAGTGTCTGTAAACACTAGAAATATACATTAGACAGTACCCTCACCAGGTACAGTTTAAAAAAGATGAGGTAACATGAATCTCAAAGTCCACAGGAATCCTGCCTGAAGAGTTTGAACAGCTGCCAGTATTCACCTCCAATGCACAGGGCTCAAGGCGTCTCCAGGACCCTCGGTTTGCTGAAGCTGGATTCCCCAGCCTTCAGCATAGCAACTGCATCTTTGACTGCATGGTAGATAACATTCTTCACCTAAAGGAACAAGAGGAGGTATGGTCAGTTTGCTGTTAAATCTAAAACCTGTTACTAAAAACAAACTTTTCCTACCAGTTTCCATACCATTCTCTCAGAATTTAAAACTCAATATTCACTATGAAATGTCAGTACTGAATGCACAGGGCTCAAGGCGTCTCCAGGACCCTCGGTTTGCTGAAGCTGGATTCCCCAGCTTTCAGCATAGCAACTGCATCTTTGACTGCATGGTAGATAACATTCTTCACCTAAAGGAACAAGAGGAGGTATGGTCAGTTTGCTGTTAAATCTAAAACCTGTTACTAAAAACAAACTTTTCCTACCAGTTTCCATACCATTCTCTCAGAATTTAAAACTCAATATTCACTATGAAATGTCAGTACTGGAAAGGTCCCCGGGCTCTTTTAGGCCCATATTTCACACATTTTAAACCCATGCCTCCTTTGAAGAACTTTAAAGACCCCCTTTGTAGGCTTTGATGCCATGTGGCCCTGCCCCTGGCAAGTGCAGGGAGAGGCAAGTTCAAAGGTACAGTTTTATTTTTCTGTTTGTTTTCCCCTGGTTTTGAAACATGAAATTATGTTACTTGGTTGACTATTAAAAGCCCTTAAAAAACGTAGCCTCTTAGGCCCTCTTTGGGTCCCAGAGATTCTGTTCTGCTCTACCCAAGGGTGAGAGTATTGCAGCACTAAAAGTCTGTGTTCAAGACCCCTGCGTGGCAGCTCAGCCAGGATCGTTAAGTCAGATCTATTCCCTTTTAACACTAAAGACTTTCTCTCCAGACAGTCCCTTACAGACCAAGCAGAGATTTCCTGCTTGTTCCTCCTCTGCCTAAGTAGACAATGAAATTCAAAATAAAGCAGTTCATCAAATCACTGGACCAAGTGTGAGTTCACTAATTTTATAAGGTAAGTAATGGGCCATGAAGCCAGAGTCAGCCAATGCCAGGAATCAGTGCTAGTTTTACCTGTAATTTATCTTCATGATTAGTATGGGTCTGTGACAGGTAACGGAATTCCTGAGTAAGCCAGAAGCAGTGTTTCACATGCTCTGGGGAAACAAAATCTTCAGCCACTTTGATACAGCTATATAAGTTATGAACCTGAAAAACACCAGGCCACATCAGTCACACACACAGAAGTTCTTAGTAAAACCAGAAAAAAGGACAAAGTACTGGTTCTTGCCTGATGTGGAGCTCCTGCTGGGATAAACACCACATCCCCAAGAAACTGTACAATAGCCCAGCCTTGAACTCCATACTCTTGATGAAGACGCTTCCTTAGGGATCGGTCTAAATACCAGCTCTGATCATGAATGGGATCATGGTCTGCTGGGTTTTCTTGACCTTGCTCTTCTGATACCTAGAATATATTAAAAACATTATGAAACTGAGCAATATGCTAAGGCCCATTGAAGGCATTCCTCCCCGCGAACCATGTGGGCAGTCAGTAACTGTCATATAGGCCTTTATATAAGTGCCCTATTAGCAAAGATGTGTAGTCCTCAAAGACAGTAAGTAAAGGAAAGAAGGAAAGACTGAAAAAAAATGAGGCTTCTCTTCTATCATTTCCTGTAAACAGACCGGCAGCTTCTGTATATGTGTATGTGTATATATAATTAATCTGGGGATATTTTTTCACTGATTTTTAGAGAGAGTGGAAGGAAGGGGAAGAGACAGAGATACATTGGTTGGTAGCCTCCCACATGCTCCCCAACCAGGGAAGGGGATCGAGCCTGCAACTGAGGTACATGTCCTGGACAGGAGTCAAACCCAGCACTCTCAGTCCACTGAGCCAAACCAGCTAGGGCAGCCTGTATACTTTTATAAATACAAATTTGGAAAATATTTTGGTCTAGACCAGTGGTCGGCAAACTGCGGCTCTCTGGCCCCTTGAGTGTGGCTCTTCCACAAAATACCGACTTCTGCGCATGGGCCACGAAGTTTCAATCGCACTGTACATGCACGTCCGCATGTGGTATTTTGTGGAAGAGCCACACTCAAGGGGCCAAAGAGCCGCATGTGGCTCTCGAGCCACAGTTTGCCGACCACGGGTCTAGACTTTTAAATATAAGTTGGCCCAAGCTCCATTTTGCAGATAATAAACACCTGTATAATCTGAATTATGAAACAGTCACCAAGATAGCTGTAGATTAAATTTGTTTATTCCAGATCAGACAGCACAGACTAAGGGTGATACTATTAAAAGAAACAATATGGTGATTAGCAGGTTTTCTTGAAGAGTCAAATGATCCTTAGCCAGAAACACTTTGATTCAAAGAAATGTTAAGGGCTAGGAGTATTCATATCCATTGTTCATGAATTGCTGGAGGATATCAACCACAGATATCTGAGCTGCCACCAGCAGCCTCATGGCCAACCAGGTTAAAAACTGAATACACCCATCTTTCCAGCTGCCTGGAACTTCCACAGATAGCCCTTTGTGAGTAACTGCCAAGTAGACTCAGAAACTTCAAAACCACTCCATCTCTTTCCAGTGACCCTTCACAAGCTAATAGCCACCAGCAGGGCTGGAGGCCTTGCTGACCTGCTTCTATGTGAAGGCAGACAAAACCAACAGGGTCTTTTTTAACTCACTCAGAACATGGTACCAAGGGCCAAGGAATGATACACAACTTGTGAAGTTCTTAGATTTTCAAGGCAATAAAAACAAATTACATGCTATGAGATAGTCAGAGGAAGTAACTTATAAAGAGCACAAAAAATTCCAAACACACTATAATATAAAACACTATAATATAAAAGTCAGGGGCTCTTCTTTTCAGAGGTGTCAGCCTAATCATTTAGAAATCCTGTTTCTTAGCAACCAGCTTCAGCCTGTCCAATCTGACAGGCACAGATTTAACCTTTGAGGTTGTGATAATTCCCCAGTAACCCAGTCAGTTCTTGAACATGTAGTAATTTATATTGCTACTAGAGGCCCGTTGCACGAAATTCATGCACGGATAGGGTCCCTAGGCCTGACCAGCAATCAGGGCCCATCTGTGGGACAACCCGCGGGGCAATTGGGGGACCCCCACTGGCACCTGCCTTGGCTGGCCTGGGGCCTGCAGGCTGGGGGCAGCTCCTGCGTTGAGCATCTGCCCCCTGATGGTCAGTGCGCATCATAGTGACCGGTCGTTGCGCCATTCAGTCGATTTACATATCAGGCTTTTATTATATAGGATAGGATTCCCCATGCCTCTCTTTACATGCCATAGGGTAAGGAGCACACCTTTTTAAGGAATTCTCGTATCTTCTCCGTGTCCTTAGCAGCATATATGTGCCAGAGAGCCCCTGGTTTCTCTTTTCCTTCAATAAATCGCTTTATTGTGAGTTCATCAGAGTCTCCATCTTGAATAGTTTTAAGGACTTCTGGAGTAAGAGAAAGCAAACATCAGCACACAGTCTCCAGCTGGGAGAGTGAGCCCCACTTTTACTTCAGCACCCTACCTTCTTCTTGGTCACACTGTCCTTTTGGAATTCCCACATAGACCATGACATTAGCTGCATCAGATACATCTAAGTGAAGATTTGTTGTTCCATATTTCCGATCTTCTGGAGTAATTAATCCTGCAAACAGAAAATGCCTTTAAATATACTAAAGGTAACAAAGGCTGACAGTCTTTCCCGCTCCCTGGAGGGTACCTGGTCACGAAATTTAAAAGATGCTTCTCTAATCATGTAAAAGTGAGAGAACAATATTAATACTAGAGGCCTGGTGCATGGATTCATGCACCAGTGGGGTCCCTCAGCCTGGCCTGTGCCCTCTTGCAATCCGGGACCCAATTGGGGGATGTCAGAGTGATGGTTTCGGCCTGATCCCTGCAGGCCAGGGCCAACATCCTCCAAACATGTAGTAATGTGCAAAGTGGCAGGCAGCCGGGGAGGAGCCTGGGCCAGGCACTGCACTGCACTGCTGCAGCAGCACTCACCAGCCGTGTGAACCCAGTGTCTGATGGCCTGTCAGTCAGCTGAGTGGCGCTCCCTGGAGCACACTGACCACCAGGGGGCAGCTCCTGCATCAAGTGTCTGCCCCCTGGTGGTCAGTGTGCATCATAGCAAATGGTCAAACAGTTGTTCAGTTGCTTAGACTTTTATATATATAAACTAGAGGCCTGGTGCACGAATTCATGCATGGGTGGGGTCCAGTGGGCCCCACTCCCTGTTCGAATGGTCGAGGGGACAATTTGCATATTAGCCTTTTATTATATAGGATTATTTTATCCTTTCAACTATGAAAGAAAATCATTTCTTATTAAATATTTAACCATAAATAAAATAAAACAAGTATAATAAACCCTCTCCTAATACAAGGGCTTTGGTTTCTAGTGATAGTCAAAAAGTCCCTGACAGACCCTTCTGCTGAGAATAACTAAAAATCCTGGATCCAATAATTGGGAAAATAATTTTTTAAAAAATGAATCACTGTGCTAGCAAGAAAAGATAATAAGCCAAAACTAGAAAGCAGAGCACGGCCAATGCTAGCAGGGGAGTGGAGCCACAAAAGCACACTGAGGAGTCATGGCTCAGAAACCCAATCTTTAACAAATGACCACTCTTTAATGATGTTTGTGGTAAGGTATAAGGTGTTTGAAAGTGAACATATTTTTATTTTCTTCAATCCCTAACTGCTTACTCTGGATAGAAATAAGTTTGTCACAGGAAAAGCTTTTCTAGAACAATGCTGCCATCTACTGGAATCTAGATCTGCTGCCAAGCTATTTCGGTAAGAAGAGAATTTACAGTCAAACCTCGAATCTTGACCTTCTCCCATCTGAACAATTTGGTTCTCCACCAACTTGTTCACAGAAAAAAGTCTTGGTTGTCAAACAAGTTCCAACATTCTCCACCTGACAATCCTGTCTGGTTGATACATCAGCATGATGAAAAGCATCTCATCTCTCAGACCACAAAGGACAGAATGCGAGTCAGTTTACCATGCTGTGAATATTTTCCTGCTTGTTGGTTTTTGCTTTTGTTGCTGGTAAAATGGACACTTAGCACAATTTTAAAACATAAAGAGGCCATCAAGTGTGCTGATGTTGCTAAGGGTGTGAAAAGTACTCACAAAACAAGGGATCACAGGCAACTAAAGAGGTAGAAAACCTGTTGTTGATTTGGCCAAAGAAAGCAGTTAGCTAGTGACAACATTTTGGAGGCAGTGATATGTGAACCAGCGAAGATGCTTCAGCCCTGGAACAAGTGCTGAAAATGATTCATTTAAGGCTAGGAGGGGGTGATTCGATAAATTAAAAAGTGCTTGTATATAGAATGAACAGTACATTAGACATGTACTGTATATAAGAAAGGTTAAAATGGGGAATCATTTGGGGGTCTGGAATGAATTCAATTTACACTCTTCTAAATGATTTGGTTTTCAAACAAATGGCTTCTCAGCCTTTTGGAATGAATGAAGTTTGAGAACCAAGGTTCCATTGTATTTTGAAAACTCAGATGACCACTTCTACCCTTTGAAGCTTCATTTCAATAAAACATGGATAATCATACTATGCAACATTACACCATTTACTTCTGTGGAAAAATGCTTAATTTATGTAAACCCCTACTGTGAACAGAGAGTATCCTGAGATCCTTGCCAGGAGCCGGTCCATCCTTGCTGCTTGACACAGTCGCTGCAGAGAAGAAACATCTGCACAGCATATGTTTCAAGGGACCTGGCGTACATGGCATACTGTTCTTAATATGTTTGCTCCCCTTCTTGGCACTATGAGTTTTAACCAAGGTCACCTCTCCGAGAAAGGTTGTTTCCCCAGGTAGGGATTTTTCCCTGAAGTTAGGGAGGGAATAAAACCCCTTAACTAAGTGCCAGGCGGGTAGTTAATCACTTTAAGAACAATCACTCTTAAGCTACATAATCTTTACTCCCTGGAAAAAGAAATGCCCTAACCTTTGGAATAGAAATTGACAGGATTAAAATCAACTGGTATAAATACAGATGTAACAAGACACAGAACCTAGAGAGAGAACCTAGCGAGAGAACATGGCAAAAGATCCTGGACAGAACCTGGCTACAGAACTTGGCTATAGAACCTAGACAGAACATGGCAGGAGAACCTGGCTGGAGAACCTGGAGTACCTGGCTGGAGAACCTAGCGACAGAACCTGGCTACAGAACTTGGCTGAAGAACCTAGCGAGAGAACATGACAAGAGAACCTAGAGACAGAACTTCGCTGGAGATCCTGGCTAGGCTGCTGATCAACTGAACGCTGTCTCCGTGTCATTCCTTCTTCGCCGACTCCGTCCACACCTTTCCCCCTGGTGTTTTAAAGGGTACTTTAAATACTAACTTAAGTAACTACTATCCACCAACATAGAACATTACATTGAAGAGTAGACGTTAAAACAGCTGGAATGCTTGTAGAATAACCTGAATGTCCAGCAACATTGAAATGACTAATAAAATTCCATTCATTCAATAATGTACCATGCAACTATAGGGTGTCCCAAAATTCACGCAAGATTTGAATTCCTTCTTCGCCGACTCCGTCCACACCTTTCCCCTGGACCCGCTGGGATTTGGACCCCAGCAGATCCTGACCATCCAGCTACTTTGAAGGGCTTGAGTGAAGTGAACTCACTTAGGTAACATGATATGAGCCTCAGATATATTCAGAGCTCTCTAATCTGAGACCTGAGAAGCAAGGGGAATAAATAAGCAAGGGGACTTCTGCCTGTGTGTCCTCTCTCTCACAGACCATTGTCACGCCAGGCTGGCAGAACTATCTTGGGCATCTAGTCGGTGTGAGTTTCCCCAACCCTGCTCCTGGTGTTGCTCTGGGCTGACTCCACCATAACAGAATGGTGGTTTTGAGGTCCAAACACTTGCTCCCCACAAAATATGCCTCTGAAGAACATGGAAAAGATGCCAAAGACTGTCCTTTCTTCAAGAGGCCTGCCATCCCTTCCTCAAGTCTGAGAAATTAGTGTTGGAAGTAATTATGGGAGGAAGAAATAAAAAAATCAAACTTACAAAAAAACCTGAAAAATGGGAGTCAAATAATATAAAACACTACAAATTCACTGAATGATTCAAACAACTGAAATTTCACTCAACAATAAATTGATAAACCACCCTTTCAAAATGGCCAACTATAACAAAACAAACCTGAACAAAGACCCTACATAAAACAGGTCAACAGAAGTAGCTGAAATTGTAGAAACCAATCTCAATCCTGAGCAATCCTTATTGGACAGTTTATCAAGTCATGGCCAGAGAATAAAAACCCAATTGAAAGGGTACTTTAAATACTAACTTAAGTAACTACTATCCACCAACATAGAACATTACATTGAAGAGTAGACGTTAAAACAGCTGGAATGCTTGTAGAATAACCTGAATGTCCAGCAACATTGAAATGACTAATAAAATTCCATTCATTCAATAATGTACCATGCAACTATAGGGTGTCCCAAAATTCATGCAAGATTTGAATTTTGCGTGAGCATTAACAACAACAACAAAAAAATGAAAGCCTAATTTTACTTGGTTTATTGAATCAGATTCTAATATCTGTTGCCCTTTGATTTCAATCCCTTCAATTTGATAAGCATTACCAAGTACCAATTATGGCCCAGGAGCAGGGACAATGAAGACCACGGCTTTGCGGATGTGCCAGCAAAGCCGTGGAGGCCATTTACCTGATGTGCTATTCCATACATAACCCTATACTGTATACTTTATGAATCAATAAAAAATTTACAATTTTAAATTATAAATCTGTGTTTTCTATCAAAATTACTTCTCGCGTGAATTTTGGACACCCTATATTAAACGTTATCGTACCAAAGATGACTAAGGACTAATATGGTAGAGTGAAGTCAGCATCATGGTGGAGTGAGAAGACTCCTTTGTTTCTCCCCTTAAATTTACAAGTAGGATGACTATAACTCAACAAAAGATACTCACTCCCCTTCACGCTCAACACACAAACACGCCTGGAGATCCATCCATTGAAACATC